AAAGGGAGCCAAATCTTCAATTGTGAATTTTGCCTAGCCCTGTGTTGAGTGAAAACCTGTAATAAGTGTACTTGAAGTTACTTTGGATAAAAGTATCTGTTAAATCTGACTACTTGCCTTCGGTGCTTCTTCCCAAACTGGAGGAGATTAATGAGCTGCCTAGACTGCAGCTCAGAGAATACACACTATACAAACCCAAGACCCTGCTACGACAGAGAGATAGACATATGAATGCCAGGCCCAACAGGCCATGAGAGAGATAGAGAAGATGATTTAAAAAGCATTTGTCAAGCGTAAGGCTGACACAATGTTAAACAATGACACTTTGGGGCTGATTACAGCTCATATTGCTGTAAGTTATGGTGTGTGGAGGTCACCGGGTCAAGGTAGGAGTGGGGATAATAGGATCTGGTGCAGGCTCGGCTCGTGCGGAGTTAATTACGAGGGCCACATAGGTCCCTCTGTTCTCTTTCTCCTTGTAACTCATACCTAAATGAGCTTAGGAGTCCGACTTCTGAAGGGTTAGACCTTCATCTTCTCAACGGCACCTGATTCATCTGCAAACACACATACATGGGGCAGTTTAAACAGCTGAGCGGCTTCACTCCCTGCTCAGCTGCTGCTAATGGCCGTGTGCTGGCCGGCCCTCACACAAACAAGCGTACATTCACAAACACACATTCTAAAGTTCAGGAAGAGTGTGTCCTGATTGTTGTTTGACTTTCATAACAGCGCTGTCTCCAGGGAGTCGCTGTGACTGGCAGAAAGGGGAGGTGGGCGGACGAATGTACTGTCTGTGAACTTTGTTAAAGCTTCTACTACACTGGCGCTCCGCAGAAAGACGGACTATTGTGTTACATTCATGTGGCTGAAAATCACAGAACATCTAGAGATCTTTACATCAATGTTGAACGCAACAAATCGGAAAGCTTTGTGGGGGACCTGTACGCTAGACATAACTGAAAATGGGAAATGTGCAAGGCCTAATCTGAGCCAGCCGCAGCTAAAGGGATGTGGTCATTTCTACTGCTGGAGGACTTGACATATAAATCATATGCTATTTTGGGCTCTTTTTAAATATTTGGTCTATGTAGCAGAGTCGAGGTTCTATCTAACTAAAAGTAGTGACACTATTGGTTTAAAGGGATAGTTCACCCAGAAATGAAAATTCAGTAATCATTTAAATCACCCTCATGTCGTTCCAAACCTGAATGTCTTTCTTACTTCCATCGAACACAGGAAATATTTTTAAAGAAATGTCATACAGGTTTTCAACAACATGAGGTTGCATTAATGATGACAGAATGCTTGTTTTGGGGGTCAACTTTTCCTTTAACTACATTTTTAGTAGCCTAAAAGTTGAGCTGCTTTCAAAACTGCATCAAGCTTTTAGTTGCATTTATTATAAAATGATGTGTAGTTTAAGCTAAAACTCTAAATTAGATGCGTTTAGAAAAAAATGCTAAATTGCAGAATAAAATAAATAAAACGTTTCTAAAGATATTGTCCCCTTGTCTGTGGAAGACAATTTTTTTTTTATGTTTGTGAAAAAAGGCTGCATTTAAAAAAATCAAAAGATCAAAAATGCAGTAAACACAGTAATGTTGTGAAATATTATTAGTTTAAAGTAATTGTTTGCAATTTATTCCTATGATGGCAAAGCTGAAATTTCAGAATCATTACTCCAGTCTTCAGTGTCACATGATCCTTCAGAAATCATTCTAATAGGCTGATTTGTTACTCAAGAAAAATCATTTGACAAATATTCGGGTAATTCCAGCGTTATGGATGTGACATTTGAACTCATAATGACAGGTGAAATGTCTCAGAAAAAAAAACTTCATACAATATTTAAACTGGAAATGCATATTCTCAGAGCACCCAATCTGGGGAATTGACAGGCAAAATATGTTTTTCTAAAATATATTTAAGCACCCCAAAAAAGGAAAATATGCATGCGTTATGGATGTTTTTGGTATACTGTTCGATTTCCTTTAAAGTCTGTGAACTTTTAAATCCAATGTATAAATATTGCTATCCACATGATGAGGGGGTCTTAGCAGAACATAAAAATAGCAATGGTTAAAATATATATATTTGTATGAAGTGTATTATGAGGAAAAACCAACGTTATGGATGTGACAAAAACCCTGTTATGGATGTGACGCGTCTGAAATACATAGAATCTGTTTGGAAAATCAACAATCAAACCATCATGGCACTTTTGTTGACGCATAATGGCTGTGTTTTCACATTAAGAAGACTGTCTGAAATGATTCTTTTTATAAAATTATTTAACATATGTGTGTGTGTATATGTATGTGTGAATATGTATGTGTGTACACACACAAACACATATATGTATACATATAAAGCCTAGCCTGCCATAAAGTAGGTTATATTGTCATGGTATCTTATCTGAGGTGATGACTCTGAGGTGAAAAGGCTATTTGATATGACACATTAATATAACTAGATTTTTATTCAATTTATTTTTCCTGATTGTGTGCGGTTTTTATTCACATTTTAGTAACAGGCTAATATAGCATTACATTTCACGTTCCTGGCAGCCAATTCATTACGATGACATAACATAGTGTGATCAAACGTACAGGTAATACAAAAACTAATTTATTAGCTGACACATAATTTATATGATTCGTGAATTCTAAAAAAAACATCTCCCATCGTTCCACTCTTCTTCATAGCGTCATCAAGCTTCGTCTTTGTTATTGTTTTGAAAATGCGACCTCTGACGGTGAAAAAAAATTACATATTGTAGCTTTAATATCATTAGTATTATTTTTATTATTATTAGATAGATATCTTTGGTGGTACATTGCGTCTCACTGTTTATGTCATTGTATCACCTGTTATTCAAAAGTGTCCCGATCAGATCGCAAGGTTCCTGTAGCACAAACAATACAGCATGGCGCTTAAAATGACATCATGGTTATGGTTTAGGATTCCAGGGAGTGAATAAATTGATTTTTTTTTTTTTAAATGCAATGTAAGTAACATTGGATAAAAATGTCGGCCAAATGCCATCGTAGCAAATCATTTCCATAAAGTCATTTCCGAGTACTTGTGTACAGCTTCAGCGTGAGTAGAAGAGGGGAAGAGGAGAAAAGCTGGCACAATCCAGGATTATTCTTTCTGCCCCCCTCTCTCTATCACCTCTTCATCTTCTTCCTCCTCATTTATAAGCTGTTGAAATCAACCATTAATCTTACATCAAAAGCAGAGAAAGGCATCTCGACCCGTCACTCAAAAGGGGGCCCATCTGATTATAACAATCCAATTTTATTGCGAGTTTCATTAAGGGGCTTTTCGCCATGTGCGGAATGCAGGAATGCGATACCTCTCTGGGCATGTGCACCACAGACATGTAATCAGCACACACCAGCAGCCTCGCTTCTTGGATAGCTCATGCTTAGTTACGGCACCAAAACACAGAAAAACAATAATTTCAACAGGGTAGTCGGCGCCGTAATTGCAGTGCCCACACATTGTGGCATTAAAATGCCAGGGTCTTCGGACCCCAAAGGCCAAGCCTGAAGAGTATGTATCCGTTTCCATGGCAAACACAGAATAGCATGCACAGAAAAAGTTAAATTACAAGTATCTTAAGACATGGTTGGGCAACATCATACCCTGAGGATGCAATTTAACATGAAACTATGAAGATTAGGGGGACAAGACTGCATTCATGGTGGTGGTTTCAAAAGTTGCGTAAAAATCTCATTAGATGATGAAATGTTACTCTAGCCACTAGAGCTATAAACATGGACCTAAGATGGATATCAAAAGTAAAACTGTTTACCAACAGACTTGGAAGAATAGAATGAACCTTACAAGCATCAACACAAGCATATTGCTATCTCCAAATAACAACAATGCACCTATGACTCATGGGTTAATGAAAATGTCATCATGATGTAGTCATTACAAGAAGAAAAAAAGTCAAAGCCTTGGCCTAGTGGTAGGTGCCAACACTTTTCGTGGTGCTCATTCAGACAACACAAGTTTGAGTCTGGTTTGCAACAATTCGGACGCATCACACTGATAGATGACTTTGAATTCTTGGCACTTCATTTTTCATGTTGGAATTTTTTTATTTGATAAGTATTTTATCAGAAAATGTTTGAATAAAACGTTGAAAAGATTAAATGGCAGAAGTTACGGTTATTATTGATCAGAAAATAATCAATGGATTAATTGACTAATAAAAAAAAAGAATCAATATATTAATCGATTATCAAAATAATCGTTAGTTGCAGCTCTAAAAAATTCCCTGTTGCTTCCTGCCCTCTTTTTACAATCAATAAACGTGACTAAATGTAAAACAGTACAAACAACTAAAATACAAAAATATATATATACTGAAGAATTTTTAAAAAGCTATAAATCTATTTCAATTCCCATAAGTGCAGCACTTCTGCCACTTAGAGACAAAATGTGTCAATTAGTAAGATACGCAAATATATTATACAAAAACTTAAGCAAGCAAGAGACCCTCTTTCGAGGATGTTATTTATCTCCCATGCTGCAACAGACTGTAAATCTACAGAGGAGGAGGATGAGAGAAAAAGATGAAAGAAAATAGACTTAAAGAGGAATGGATGAAAGGGAGGTAAGGGGCTCAGGGGGACAGGGCTGGCACATGAAAGCCAGAATCCTGTGGCGCTTAAGTAGCGTTTAAATCAAGAAGGGCCTTAACCCACCCCTGAACACACATATTGAACCAGGCAGGTGTACAAATTACACCCATCCATAAATAGCAGGTGCAAAAAGATGCACACCGTAAATATCCCTCTGTGTTAAGGGAAGAAAGTCTTTAGAGTGTAATGCATACGATAAATCAACTGGTTTGTTTTTGATGCTTTTCTGCTTAAAACTGTTAATAAAAAGTAGGGAAAAAAAGATTTACAGACTTGTGAAAAACAGTCCAAATAATCAGTGAGCAATACAACACAAAGAATCACAAAAAACATTCTTACTCTCGCTCCTTCTCTGTGAGTTTGTCGGTGATGGTGTCTTTGATGGTGGAACGGGAACCCTTGTGGATGACTGGATACCTGAGCGGAATCTGCAGGAAGCACGACATCATCAGCACCAGGTGTGCCGTGTAACCCAGAGCCACTGCAATACTCCCATCATCCTTTGCTGCAGTGGAAAACACAGAAAAGCATATGTAAATTTGAATGAATGTAAAATGAGGTGCAAATAAAACTCAAAGAAGACAGTAAACGAGTGAATCTCATAAAATAAGCTCCCGACCAGTCAAATTTAACCAGAATCAAAAAGGAATTAAATATTTTGTTTTAAAAAAATGAAGCCTGTTTTAGAACCATTAAGATTTTTCTGCATTGTGACATTTCCCACTCATATGCCTCTGCATTAGAAATTAATTTTTATTATAGCTTTTATATATAATAAAATATTCAAAACATTAATTCACTACAACAAACAATTTCAATTCTGAATATTAAAGAATATATTGTAATAACATTGGCATCTAACAATAGTGTCTAATAATCAATATAATAAAATTTAGATTTTTTTATAAGAGAGCATTAAATAAATGTCACAGTGCAAAAAATATTAGCAATCCAAAAATGGTTCTTTATTCTTTTATACCGTGCTACAACCATTTCAGTTGAGGTCAAAAGTTGTACACTCTGGTTTAAAGGATGAGTCACCGCAATTGAAGTTAATTCACTCCAATCCGAAGTTGTAAATCAGAGGCCATTTGTTAAGTTGATGGAAGCTGATGAAGGCCATTCATTTTGTCTCCTTAGGGCCCTTGAGTTATAGGGAGCCGCATAATAACCTAATACCATGCAAAAGTTCAGTTCACCTCAGAAATGCCCTTTCCTGATAGGGTCAAAGGCATCACCAGAGGCTAAAAGCTACTCTGAAAACAAGGATCGGCTTAATGTTAGTGTTCTGTCTTTAAATGTGTATAATCACACTCCAACGTGAGCATTTCCTAAATAATTATATGCAATCTAAATCACTCTGATGGCCCCATTTCAGTCTGAACAGCAACCTTTTGGGGCATTTCTAGCAAATTCAAATAAAAAGCCCTAATGCCAAGCAAAAAATATTAAGTTGCTAAGCAACTGAAAGGACAACAGGTCAACTAGTAATTACGTGTTATGAAAAAAATGCAAAAAGCTTTTTTTCTAACACACACACTTCTGCTTTATCATAAACATGCATCCAAACTACATTTCCCAGAACACCCCTTAAACTACACATGCTCCATTGTACTCACTACATTTCAGCTTACAGAAAGTTTCCAGGCTAGAACAGCCACGCATTTGCAGATGAAAACAACGCGCTGTGGACACAGACCATATCACTTATGGAAAGCTTTGTGAGACTTATTTTGAATAAGAAATAAGTTGTGTATGCATACGAGTTGTCATTTTGTGCTTTTAAAATGCATGAATGAGAAAACTGGCAAGCAATAGCCACATATGTGAAGGACTGCATATTATGCATATATGTGAATATGCGTTTTGTTGCGTGCGCGGTTCAACCTGGCTTCCATTAACCTCTGTTCTTTTGAAGTCATGCCTCCCTTGCCTGAAAAAAGCCAAACCTGATTCTCTGCGACACATACAGTGCTGCCTAAAGGACACATGGGAAATGAGATGAATAACTCTCCCCACAGCCAGCACAACAAAGGACATCACTTGTACCCATCACACACAATTCATTCTCCTTATTAAAAACCCCAAATGCCTAACTATAGGGAACTGGGAGATGAATGCTCTAATAAAATCCTTTTCTCTCACATAATGCGAGAAGTCAGAAGGTCCGACCACGGTTCTTGCTGTGTGAATAACTGGCTAGAGTGAGCTCACTCTTAACCACAAGTTGAAGGGTTTCATGGACACAGGGCTTCATTGATCAGAACAGAGGAGGATGATTGATTGATGGCCTGGAGCCTGTGATCCACAGCCAGACTGAAGAAACCCAGAAATCGAGAGAATTACAGCCAGTGAAGCAGAACTGACTGGGGATTCAAGAGCTCCTTGCCAGATGAGTGTCGAATCGCTGTATCTGATTCTGAACTGATTTAATTCAGAGAGTGACAGTGGACCAGAGTTGACAATGCAAAGAAATCTGACAAATAGTTCTGACTTTTTTTAATGCATTATATACTGTTATACAATTGAATGACATCAAATGAGACATTTAAACCCCCAAAATTCATAGAAAGTTTCTCGAAATTCATTTAAAAGCCACTGAAATTACTGATTAGAAATTAGCTATCAGCATATTTTGGACAGTTAACACTATGTTAATTGACCAAGCGGGCACGATCATAATTTCAAAATAGCCAAATATAAACTGATTAATCAGCTTGGCTCAGTTTCCTCCTCCGATGTAAGGGTGTGTTCACACTTGGCAGGTTTGGTTCGTTTAAAACGAATCCTGGTGCGATTGCTGATTGATTAGTGCGGTTCATTTGAATATGTGTGAACGTTGAACTGAACCTTGGTGCACACCAAAGCAGCGGACCGAGACCCCTGAAAAGATGGGTCCCAGTCCACTTCCAAACGAACTGTGGTGCGGTTAGACTGAAATATGAACTTAACACAGACCAAAGACATCAAAATGAACCAAAAACAGAATGTAATGTCACAAGATGTGACTCTAAAAAGGCTTTTCTAGTCTTAGGAGCTACGGTGGCCATTACAGTTTGGTACAAGTGGCGGAAGCGGCGTCTCCTTGCAGCAGATCTTTGTTTGTGTGCAACGGAGGAACTCCTGGCACTATTTTGACTCCTTTACACATTTTGTAAGCTCCTCACAAATTCTCAGCTGATAAAGAATAACAGTGTGAATGTTAAGTGAACCATTATTTTCTTTTTCAATCCAGACTGAAAGAACTAAGTGAACCGAACAACGAGTGTGAACACAATTCTGATCTCATTTTATCGTCCACCAAGCACAAATGCCAAGTCTAAATGCTTGGAAATATAAAACCACAAAAAAGTTCTAAAACCCGTAGCATGATTTGACACTTCATTCAAGTCCACAGCACAACAACTTACTGAAGTTTCCTAATTAACGTTAAGGATTTAATAACTCAATATTGAGTGAATTCAAAATTCACTCAATATATTTGAGAACGGAGCTGAGAGCTGTTTATTTGAGAGTTTGAAGATTTTTTTTTACTTCAGTGAGAGCGAAAAAAAAAAATATATATATATATATATATATATTGCCCAATTAATTGGTTAATTAGTAAATCAGTCTGTCACAACTCAGGATATCTAATTCAAATGTTTCTCGGGTATATTTAATTGCCAAATCAAAACTTACCTTGAAAGTCTTCAGAATTGGGCAGTTTAACACCACAAATCACATAATCGTTCTGATTGTTCTGCAAACAGAAAAAGAAAACAGCAGAAAAGCAGTTGTGAGCACAGCATTCTGGAACAGCATGAGCAGCCGATAAATCAAATCCTTCATTCACCGACTGAAAAAGCTTGGCAGAGGATAGTTTGGTCTGAATGTGGTTTTTCTGCTCATTTTCAGTGGCTTTATTTTGTAAACTGATTTGACTGGCAGCGGGACTCTGTGGGTACCAGGCAGCGTACACACTGAACAGTAGTTCTAGGTCATCCTGAAATGGTGAGAAACCAAAACTTGTTAAAAGCCAGTAACGGAAAGCCAGTCCGCAAAGACCCAGACCTCTAATATTCCCAGCATGCCACACGCTCCAGCTATCAGCACAAAATGAGAAAGACAGGAAGCTGCATTATGAGTGTTTTTGTTGAGTGTGTTTGAGTGTGACATTGTTTGTGTGTGGAGTTAAACACTCACCACATCAATGGGATAAATGTAGGAAAGCTCTGTTATGAGCTGACGACAGCGGAAGGTGAGCTGGGCGTTAGACTTCAGAAACAGCTCTCTGTTGAAGAACAAACACAGAACTTCAAGATCTTTCACTCCATAATTTAAATGAAGTGTAAACAGACATATATTATTTGTATTATTATCGGTAAAATAATATAATAATAATAAATTATCTTTATTTTTATTTACTCATATTATTATAGAATACGTTCATAATCATATTTATTTATCTACATTGATATAATTTAATACATTAATATTAGTTATATTATTACTATTATAACCATATGATATAATAAAATAATGTCAATATATAAATAAAAATAAATATAAATAATAGTAATAATAATAATTGTTGCTGCTGTTATTATTATTATTATATAAAATTAATACATATGTACATAATATACTAGGACACCTGTGTGTTCATACATCCACTAAAACAAACAAATGTCAGACCATTTGGTTAAAAGTTACTGGGAAAAAATGGCAACAAAAATCAAGCTTTGATGACATTTGTGTGCCGATGTAACTTGGTTTGATATTTATAATTATCGAAGTATTTTAAATATGATTTTAGTGTCAAAAGTTACTTAATACTTTTTGGGGCCACTGTATAACCAGCAAAAGAAAGTTGCAAGACAGGAAATAACAGGGAGTCACAATGACATAGAGACGAAAGAGAAGAAGAATTAATTGCAATGTTTATATTGGCTTCAGGAAGTTCACTTCGCTAATGATGCTCTGAATCATCTCTCTATGGTAAGAGTTACTCAATTATCATAACTGCCAAATTACAATGAACTTCCTCCACTCTGACCCCATCCTCCAATGGTACAACCAACCCTAATCAGAACACATCTGTCAAGTAAGGGACACACCATTACCTCAGGACGGGCACAGCTAAACCAAGACCTGTCTAGGTGAGGTGCAAGGGGTTGAAAAAATGTTTACTTTTCATGTTCAGCTTTCAGCTACTGGTTCTATGACTTGAGGAGAAAGATGAAGAGTAATGATAGAGGATAATGTGGCATTCATTTACAGTCATGAGAAGGAGGCAGGGAGGAAATAATGATGAGGTATGAAGGATATACCTTCCTTACTGGACTATAGCTTCCATGTGGGTCCACCAGGCCTGCTCTACACCACCCAAAATCTGGTCAAAACAACCACTGTTAAACTGTGAACATAACTTGATCTGTCTTTACTGTAAGTGGGTTTCCGATGTGCCAAAAAAGCATGAGGTGCGAATCAACGCCCAGAGACATCTGTCTGAATGTGTATGGCTGTAGTGATGGTACTTTAAGGGGGATGAATTAAAATTGTATTTATATTTTATATTAATATTAATATAGCGCCATTATTCAGTTGAAGTCAGTTCAGTAACTGTGTAAAGTTCAATTATGAAAAGCGTTCAATTCACCTATTAGTCCCATCCCATCCAATAGTGTATGTGCAGTCAAATCAATAATATTACTAAACATTAAGTGTCTTATAAACCCAGACAAAGCAAGCCATAGGCGACAGTGGCAAGGGACCCAAACTCCATAGAGTGACAGAAATGGAGAAAAAACCTTGGGAGAAACCAGGCTCAGCCAGTTCTCCTATGGTCAAATAAACGAACATGGTGTGATTTATGAATATATAAATAATATATAAACTGGGTTGAAAGATTTGAACTGGATTACATCATTTCATAATCCTGTTTCCCCTCTATTGAATGTTGCAATCTATAAAAAAAAAAGAGGCAAAAATACAAAATAAATAGCAATATTTACGGCAGCATTACCCGAGACCTGACAACTCTGCTTCAAACAAGAGGCAGATGAACACCACCAGACATACAAATGCATTATTTCAGAGGTCAGCCCACTGTGTGTGACCCTTTGGGTCGTGTCAACCCCATTAGGGTTGGCACAACATAATCTGTTTATTGTCACACTATGCAATTTGAGTGGGTGGGAAAACACAAATATATCCAGCATGCCCTCAGTCTGCTTGAGTTGGCCGTATAATCTCCCAAAGCGCTCGGAAAAACCGACAGAATGAAGGAGCGCCCAGTTCTGCGGCCCATCACGGTAATGTCTGACAGATGTGAGATCACTGGACTCGAGGGTAGAGAACGAGGGATGAAAACGAGAAAAGAGAGGGACGGATAATTGCAGGTTGACAATCACTCACCTTTTGGCAGTGCATTCCTTCTGCAACTCCGTCAAAGACTTGCGTTCAGACTCCAGACCCTGGTGCATGGTAGACGACGCCTCCTCTGAGGAGAAGAACACAGACAGGTGGAGAGAATAAAGAGACAGAATGAGGTGAATGAACAGGTAGGCTCGTGTGTGTTTGTACAGGTGGGTAGGAGTGTCTCATTTTGATAGCAGTCTATTAAATTGTGCTGTCATAAAACAGAGTCTTTCATCATTATAAAAACATTTCCTCTACAGGCAACATAAAACTAATTGAGATTCCAAAAATGCTTGTAGGGTTTTTTTTTTTTACATAAATATAACTGCTCAGAATTATAATAAAAAGACGAGACCATATAATCAAAAACATTCCCAACATGAAATTTGGATAACGATTCCCGGGAGCAGGATAAGACACGCTTAGATTACAGAACGTCTGACAGGTTTTAATGATGAAATCCTGCAATTTCACGATCTGAAATACTTCCTGTGTTGTGATTGAACTTGAGAACATTTATGGATGTCCCTTTGAGAACTTTGACCTTGTGAACTTGTATTAAAATATCAAAAATTTTAAATAAATAAAACATATATTCTATTCACTTGATTTTTCCATTTCATTGTGCACTAATCAAGTATACTACATTTTGTTAAAACATAATTGGGAGCAAAATTGTTGGCTGTGCTGGAAACAATTCCATAACTGAGGTAAATTTGTGTACAAATTGGTAGAAATAATTTTCACAAAAAAATTAAAAGGTTTCTGTTCATTTCAAATTAATTTTTTAGCATATTTTAAGATTGAATGCCTGGGTCTGGTATATGGTTAAAAAAAAAAAAAAAAAAAAAAAAAAAAAAAAAACATAATGTGACCTAAATATAATGAAAAGGAAAATGATAATCTGTTAGTTCTACAACCTTCTGGCATATAAAAGTGCCCAAAGTTCAACACACCCTGAAACAGAGCTAAAAAAAATTTTATGCATATTAAAACCCCTAAATTTCAAATGTACAAAATAATATTGTCTCTAACTGGCGCACTGTGCAGAACTCCAGTATGTTTGCGTACATTCAAGGAAAACAGAACAGTAAATCTCCATCTGATTTGCTGGAAAGACACAGTGCCCAGATTTACTGGATCTAAGGGTTTTGCTGATGGTGTTCAAAAGACATTTTCCAACCCGGCCTGCATGGCCACACCACCCCCATGTCATCAAAGCATCAGCCAGGAGTGTGTGTGTGTGTGTGTGTGTGCGCGAGTATGAGTTGCTGTGGAATGCAAGTGTCAGCCCCACTTTTTTGCATTGCTGTTGTGGTTCATTATTTCAGACACAATATTCACAGAAGAGGGCAAATGGAGATCGAGACAGAAAGCAAGAGAGATCAATGAGTGAGAATTGAAGAGAGGAGGAGATTTTAAATTCTCTCTATAGATGGATCAAAAGGAGGATAGGCAGTGGTGTGGTGTGCCTCAGGTCCCTATAAGACCAAATCATATACAGTACATACATACATACTGTATATAAATATACATGAACTAGTATTCAAAAGTTTGAGATCAGAAAGATTAATACTTTTCAGAAAGGACACATTAAATTAATCAAAAGTGAATGTAAGGACATTTACGATGTTTCAAAAGATTTCTGTTTCAAATAAATGATGTTCTTTTGAAATTTCTATTCAGCAAAGAATCTTGAAAAAGAGCATCATGGTTTCCACAAAAATATGAAGCACTACACTGTTTTCAATGTTAATAATAAGACATGTTTCTTCAAATCAGCACATTAGAATGATTCCTGAAGGATCATGTGACACTGAAGACTGGAGTAATGATGCTGAAAATTCAGCTTTGCCATCACAGGAATAAATTGTATTTTAAAAGATAATAAAATAGAAAACAGTTATTGAAAATTGTAATGTTTTACTCTATAAAATAAATTCAGCCTTGGTGACCATGAGAAGTTTCAAAAACATTAAAAACTAAACTGACATTGTATGGAAGAGACCTGCATGAAAAAAAAAAAAAAAATTCCACAGAAGAAAGTCACAGGGGATCGGAATGTCATAAGGGAGAGTAAGCGAAGACGATTTTCATTTTTGGGTGAACTATTCCTTTAAAGAGTTGATTCTTGTCTGTTCTTTTCCACTTCACTTACATAAAATGAGAAGATGAGAGTGGAAAGAGAAAATCAAAGCAGACTGTCTGGTAAAAAAAAAAAAAAAAAGGCACAACTCTTTTGTTCTGACTTGCACTTGTAAAAACAGAGAGTGTCTGCTTTATAATATGCCTCGCATTCTCTTCTCTTTTACAGCTCTGTGGGATCTTTCTGTCTTAAAGCAATGCATGGCGGGACATCCTGGGCCCTGGTGCTGTCTTTCTGAAGACACTGGAGGTGTGAACCAGGGAAATTGAAAGAGAGATCATTGTCGCTGGAGCAAAGCGGTCCCACATGCAAAGCCTTGAACCTCTCATTAGGATAAGACGGCAGGAAAAAAAAAAGAGAGCCAGAGGCAGAGAAAGAGACTGAGAGGTCTAAATGCTTTTGTTCTCTACTTGTTCTCTATAAATGATCCCCTATGACACACTCTGCTTTAGTAATATTGCCTCTCTCGACCATCAGAGTTGTCAGCACCAGGTTAAGGCCTCCTCTTCGCCGCCCACACCTTTCCTAAAGACTACTGGCAGGAAGTCATCTGCGTTTGCTCGGGAGAAAGCAGAGGTTAAAGGAATAGTTCACCCAGTAATATAAATTCTGTCATCATTCACTCACCCAAATATCTGTAAGAAAAATGGAAGCTCTTGAGGAAAAGTCTTTTTTTTTTGTTGCGCATCGAGGGATTTATTCGGTAAATGTGTTATTCCATCGCAGTTTTATGCGCATGTCATCCTAGTGGGATAAAAAAAAAAGATCTGCCTCAATTGAGTGCATTTGTTTTTTTATGCACATTTTGCGATATCCCAAAATGCACATACAATGGAAATCAATCACTATATTTCCATCCACCTATTTGTAAGTAAAAAACAATACACTGACATTGTCACACTATATTTTATGTTCCACAGACAGTTAATCTCGGTAATGAAGATTACAGATGGAATTATTCATTGACAAAGCTTCTTTTTTTTTGCCGCCAATGATAAGAGACATCGTGGCATTGGCAATAACTGCCATGAAAGCTAAACCACAGGAAACATGGTGAAGCCAGCGGGTGTTTCGTGTTCTAATGACCAAAAGGACTAGTAAAAGTGTGTCCACTCACTCTGTACCTCTTTTTTTTTTTCTGTAGCACTTTACATTTTCCCCTTCGTTTGTGGAGTCCCTCCGCATCTGACGTTTACAGGCCCACGGTCCAGAGCGCAACTACCGATCATAACAACGTCAAATGGCTTTTATGAGCATAATTTACAACATGTGCACGGACGTGATGAGAAATTAGAGCGAGGGAAACGGTGACAGGAGGCTTGACCCTGCAAAGCTTTATTCTGTGCTTCAATGGAAACGAGGAAGCGCTCAGTGACCAGAACCGCCGGGGGAGTGCGAGAGCGCATGACTGCAGCTCTGTACATTAAACAGAGATGAGACGTGGTTACACTTAAGTCATTTTGTGCAATTTCTGGCAATCTCCCTTTGTAAGTGGGATAAACTACGGTAGTTTTGGAAGGAGGCTTTCATGCTGCTTCACGGAGTGCTGGCCCGGTTAGTATCACAGCAAATAAGCGCTGACTGACAATAGCTTAAAGGACCATTAGTGTTTAAATGAAATTTAGGTGTGGGGGATTTGTTAGCGGGAATGGGAAAGGCAGGAATTAACTGAGAGGGACATGACGGGAAAGAAAAAAAGTTGGAATCTGTAGTTTTTCTCATCTCTCTCGCAGAAGAGAGCGCTTTCCTCCCTTTTCCTTACTACTAATAACCCTTTGAACATCTTTTACTGAAAAGATGTTCACAAAGAAATCTAAAACAACATTATATATTATTATATTATCTGTTAACAATAAATAGCAAAAACTCACACATCCCAAAAAAGTGCATAAGATATCATTTCAAAAACATGTCCAGGTGGCATAGTTTGCAAAAATATACAATATTTAATTTGTAATGCAACATTAAGGTCATCCAAGTGTTAACTAAAATTAGAACTATTAAAAGTAATTTTCAGTAATTTAAATAAAATTAAATATAAATATTAGATGAAAAATGTAAACTTTAAAAAAAATTATTAGAAATGTTGCCTTGGAAACTAACTGAAATATGTAAGTTTAAGCTATAGCACTAAAATTACTAAAACTAAAACCAAAATTAATAATAAATTAGGATATATATATATATATATAAAAAATGAAAAATAAAATGGTAAAAGCACATAATTACTAAAACTCACTTACATAAAAAATCTAAATATTAATAAATTCTATAAATTACACTATAATAGTATAAAAAATAAAATAACACTTGGTACGGTGCAGGAATTTTTCTTCTGTAATTTGTTTTATCTTTTTTGCATTAAATTCTTAACCAATTTTCTTACCAAAATTAGAAAGAAAGAAAGAAAGAAAGAAAGAAAGAAAGAAAGAAAGAAAGAAAGAAAGAAAGAAAGAAAGAAAGAAAGAAAGAAAGAAAGAAAGAAAGAAAGAAAGAAAGAAAGAAAGAAAGAAAGAAAGAAAGAAAGAAAGGACCAATAAATAAATGAATGAATGAATGAATGAAGCAGGTCAAGCAGTGTGCCATCATCCTCTCCTCTTACTCTAGTTCAAATAAATGTTTTATTCAGCTCTTAAAAAGTATTCTCCAATGCATGAATGTGAATGGGCCGCTCCCTTCGGCTCCAGTCAGGACAGGCTCCTCTTGGCAGAGGCTGTTGGGTAGACGTCATCCATCTAGAACAGACCTTTCCCTGAACCTCAAATCCGCTGTTTGTTTCTACACACTAGGAGGTCATGAACACAATGCATTATGGGATGGCAAGTGCCAGGCCACTCAATCATTACGGTTGTGCAAGTGTGCGTATATGTATTCTTTATGAACCCACAGTATGCAGCCCAACCCTCTAGCCAAACACCAGCCACCACATCAATCAAACTCACCTCTTCGCACCTCCCGTCCCATGCACAACATTTGGCAAATAAAAAGAGCAGGATTCAGAAATCAAACATGAATGGCAGGAGGCTGTGACAAATGGGGCGGTGAGGAACTTAAGCTTTGAATAAACTCTGAATGTTCAATGTCCGCCTGCACAGTCTGGATCTTTGATAGAAGCAGTGTAAAGTAACATAAAAGAATAATGAGACCACTAAATCACAACAAACAGGGGTGGCGGTGGTCTTGACAGGTCAAAACCGCAGAAGTGCCCTTTTCCTACAAGAGGATCTCCCATTATAACTGAATTTTAAGGACAAAATGTGACTAACAAACTGCTCGAATCAGGCATGTACATAATGGTAATTTAAACAAAAAATTGCCCAAATCAGTGACGACAAGCAATGTACAACAAATGCACGTCCTTTGATTGGGCAGCACGAGACACATTCAAATCTAAAGAGTTCTGAAAGAGAAATTAGCAGTCATATCACCCTGTAGCCCAAGACTGGTTGCCCACTGAAGCTAAGCAGGGCTGAGCCTGGTTAGTACCTGGATGGGAGACCTTCTGAGAAAACCAGGTTGCTGCTGGAAGAGGTGTTAGTGAGGCCAGCAGGGGGTGCTCACCCTGTGGTCTGTGTGGGTCCTAACGCCCTAGTATAGTGACGGGGACACTATACTGTCAAAAGAGCACCGTCCTTCGGATGAGACGTTAAACCGAGGTCCTGACTCTCTGTGGTCACAAAAAATCCCAGGATGTCTTTCGAAAGAGTAGGGGTGTAACCCCGGCATCCTGGCCAAATTCGCCCAGTGGCCTCTGTCTATCATGGCCTCCTAATCATCCCCATATATACTGATTGGCTTCATCACTGTCTCCTCTCCACCAGTAAGCTGGTGTGTGGTGGGCGTTCTGGCGCAATATGGCTGCCGTCGCATCATCCAAGTGGATGCTGCACATTGGTGGTGGTTGAGGAGATCCCCCCTTCTATGTGAAGCGCTTTGAGTGCCTAGAAAAGCGCTATATAAATGTAATGAATTATTAATTAATTAAATTCCAATAGTTCCGAAATGGAATTTCCAACTTCTTAAAGAAGTGCAAAGGTATACCACCTTTAGGTCGGATTCCCAACATGGAAATTCACAACTCTGATTCCACAAAGATGCATGTGCCAGATGAATGTGGCAAAAACAGTGCGAACTACACAATTAATGGTGAACAACAACCCAATTCAGGCAAATTATTGAATCCAAATGCCTAAATAACATGATTACAAGATCATAAAATGGGTTTGGGAAACATTTGCTGAGACAGGTGTGTAAAACATGGCAAAAGATCTGTGTTGCTGTTCGCTTACCTGCAAAACAAATGCTAGCAGTGTTTTTATACATCAGATGTTTTTTAGTCGGAAGGTGCAGATATCAAGTAACAATCGAATGCATCACTACATGTCAAATGTGTTCTTATTGGCTGCAATTTTGTTGTTTTCTTTAAGTGAGGACAGGAAAATTACTTGACGCTGGACACTTTTTGTATGAAGGCTGTTTAGACGTAAAACAACTGCCTTGTTCAATTCAAGGCACGGAAATATATTTACATGAGAATGTGGAGCCGCCGTTTTAGATCTGGAAATACATTTTAGCAGATGGAACTCTATACGGTCCCCCAAAGTACTGGAACACGCATGAAGTTACATCAGTGAAAAACAAGATGAAGAGTTTCACAACACATTCAGTCTGACACACAGATTCAGTCTGACACACAGTTTTGGAAGAGAATGCTGCCTGATTGCAGATGTGTGGGGATGTGAACCACTGGTGTGTAACAGTATAGAGGAAGAATACATATGGTGATGGGGTTTTTTTTACCAAAAAGGGACAGATCTTTCATCAGTGAATTTTGTTACCTTTCTTTACAAGCTGTGCTCTCTCTTTCTGCATCAAGTCCATTTCTCTCGTCAACGCCTTCCTCTGTCTCTCCAACTCACACCTCAGAATCCCGATATGTAGCTGCATACACTCCCTCTCTTTTTTCTGCGGAAAGAAACAACAATAAGTATAAAAACGTTTCCGTTTTCCTCAATTCTATGCCCAAATCAACTTCATTGGGTAGCTCAATTATTAAGAAAAGGACGGTTAACAGCTGGTCAGGCATTAGAATGGCCTGTTCTGAAGGTAAATCTCACACCCACAAAGCATGAAGCATGTAGCAAAATTGGTTATTCTAGTCGGTACTAAGAAGAAAAACAGTTGACGGTACTAGTATTTCTGCAGAACCGGTAGGTAGTACAGAGTATCGGGCGTATTGAGTACCCACTGATAGAGGCTGCTTTCAAAAGCTCTCGTTTGTGTTTGTTTGAGTGCTCTCTCTCTGAGTGTCATAGGTTCCTATTTACAATGTGTTTTTACAAGCAATGAGCATTGTAGCCAATCCCGAACGCAGAGGTGCTAGTCCGTAAATCACAATCTGCTAAGCACCATTGAAAGCGCACAAGGTTTTGTTTTGGTCAGCGCGAGCCGCGCACTCGTGAATCCTTTCTTTATAACCAACAAAGTGTAAACAAATAAGTGATTAATTGTACAATTAACATGGTAGGGCTCTTCTCTTGCTTTCTGTTTACCCATTCACAATCTGAATATAAGTTTAGCTTTTCATGCTGCTAAGTACACTGCAACGTTTCTGGATTGACACCTGTGTTTAAAGGCTAGACTGAATCGGAAACTGCGATGACTGACAGTGATAACCCACGGATGAGACAAAATGGGACAGCATTTTTTAAAGTACTTAATTCAACAGTTTTTGCTCTGGTACCGAAATTGGTACTGAGAACTGCTAAATTGTACTGGTATTAGTAGTGGTATTAGTAGTACTGGTATTGGTACTGTGACAACCCTAGCTTATTCTAATATAAATTATAAGACTTTTTTATATATGCACTTAAAGTTTAGGGTCAGTAAGGTTTTTTTTAAAGTGCTTTTATTCAGCAAGGATGCATTAAATTTATCTATAGTGAGAGTAAAACATTTGTACAGTTATAAAAGATAATATTTCAAATAAATGCAGGGGTTTTTTGCACTTTCTATTCTTTAAAGTATCCTGTTAAAAAAGTTTCACAGTTTCCACAAAGATATTAAGCAGCACAACCACTAAAACAACTATTTTAAAGTATAATTATATTTCATAACAATATTACTGTATTTTTGATTTTAAAAAAATGCAGCCTTGATGAGCAAGAGACTTCTTTCAAAAACAATGTATATATTTTGCATTAACCTGTAAAACACTTTGGAAAGTAAGCGCGAGCCAGAAACATTCACATTAATGTAATAAAACAGTAAGATATGATTTTTTAAGCTGATTACAGCAGACATCAGTGCCGGATCTTCCCTCAGATTCTCCAGCACAGATGAGTCCACAGCAGATCTATCTAATCTACATCTACAGCCCTGCGGCTTTCGGGACTGTTAGCGAGCCAAGCGCACTAATGAGGAACAGTGATCTGACGAGGGTGAAAGTGGGATAGAGAGTAGATAGGAGAAGAAAGAGAGCGAAGGAGAAGAGATAACAAGCAGAGAAAGTTCACTATGTCTTTAAAGTGATTGGTGGTGGTGATCCCTATCATAGCCAGAACTGCTGAGTTTAATACAGAGCAGGATGGAGAAGCATCTCTAATGTTTGATCCTCATGGCCTTCAGCGTCCATTAGAGACATATTCAGAATAAACAATAAACATATTCATCATGCATGCAATTACAAAACTTACAGAGTGGACATAGATGTGATGTCTCTATAAACAGAGATGTAAGAAACATGAATCCACCCCACAGGGTGTTGGGGAAATTGAGTGGAAGTCATATAGCAATGAAATCTGTAGGATCTACAGTAGGTAAAATCTCAGGATCTTGTATTCTTGCACTTGGCAGCTGAGGAAGTGTCAACCACAGAGATATAGAAGACATCACCTCAACCTTCAGATAGCTTGAGCCCTTATACGGCAAGAAAAGACCAAGAGCTTGCGTGTTTACTATCAACGCCACTGGCACGACAAAATATGACATTTCACACATAGCTAAACGCTTCAAAAACGCTTCACATTTTTTTCAGAAAAAAAAAACTAGAAAAAAGTAGGGATACATTGATACTGATGCTGATAAGTCAATAATTATTTTTTTTACATAGTTTGATATTAAAATGTTATACTAGTTTGTGTATAATAATAATATTAATAATAAATAGTTCAAAATGCTACAAGTGAATTTAGCCATCACAACATTATAATTGAAACATTTACTATACATAAAGTAAAAAAATAAAACGTTTTGAAATTTAAGATTACATTTAAGGTGTTATTAAATTAATACTTTTTAAAAAATAACTTTAAGTGACATCACGTGAGAGAAAAGGTCATCTAAATGTAAAAATAGGCAGATTTGAACAAGCTCAATTAATCTTATAATGGTCAAAATAATAACTATCAACTGTTAAATAATAACATAAATAAGAATCATAAAAATAAAAGTAAAAAATAAAACTAATAAATATCATAACAATATAAAAACAACAAACATCAGCTGAAAAAAATAAATTAGAAAAAAATAAATTATGTAAATAAGTACATTTAAAAGTAATAAGTAAATAAGCATGTAAATAGGTAAAATAATAAGTAATAAATAATACATAAATAAGAAATAAATTAATAAATCAATCAATTCTAGCTCTAAAAAAAAAACATTTGATTGAACAAAAGTCTGTCAAATCAAAAACAAAAGTCCAAAATTTTAGGTGTACACTAGCATATAAATTAGCTTTAAAGCAAAACACACATGGACTAAAAGCCACAAACCTTTAAGGCATGTACCTCACATCCTCTCACACACGAAAAATCACATTCTGCTAGTAATAAGAAAGCTCGGAATAATTCAATTAGCGTAGCAATAACCGGTACAGTGTAGCGAGTGTGCGTGGGCTGATTGATTGCTTGAAGTGCCCTAATAGGCTCCAAACTGACCTGAGGCCAGTGAGAAGTGACAACACTGCTGTTCCAGAGGTGAACGCTCTGATCTGTAATCAGGTTCACATAACCTCAAGCCTGAAGGAAAAACTCAAAACAGACTTTTGCTCATTAAGCGCAGTAACCGATACACTTTTGCAGGAATTTCAGACCCTCGCTGACCTTTGGTACGGTCCAGGTAGCGCTCGGGTGATGGAGGGAGAGTGTCAGCTATTAGTGTAAACGTATCCTGAAATTTGACATGTGGAGAACTCCAGAAACTTGCCAATTCGTTTTTTGGAGAGGAGGAGACTTCACAGTCATTCACGGAGACTTGACGAACCGCTAAGAAAGACGTGTGATAATATTCCCAACATATGTAGGCTTCAGAAGGCTTTAAGAGCCTTTGGATGAGTATTGTGTTGGATATTGTAAGACAGAAACTTGCTTGTAATTATTGCATGTCGTGTTGTGTTTGCTGTGCTTTCTCGTGTTTGTTCATTATAAACGCTTCATGTTTTGGCAACTTCTTTTCACGTCATGATCATTTCTGGCTGATTTGGATTCAAGCAAGAGTGAGAGAAAAAAAGTGAGGTCATGTTCTTTGCTTTGGCCAGCCAAAAAAAAAAAAATGGAACCAAAAACAAAGTTTGAAAACAGAAACTCCAAAGAAAATGACAGACCTCCAGGACACTGAGACAGCGGAGATCAATAGATGGTCCTGTGAACATCTCACCCTCTGAGAAAACAGCATTTCAACAGGTGGAGGCGCCGCCGCCATACAAACACTAAGCACTTAAACATCAAAGACAGCAGGAGTGTGTGTGTGTGGTAGGGCACTGAGTGATGGCGTCTTTATGACTCACAAGTGTGTGAGAGGGCAAATGTGACTCAAAGAATCTCTCATTTTCACTCTTTCTGAAGTCTTTCAAGGATGCGCTATATTTCAATGCATTTCTATCCAAAAAACACATTTCAGTTTCATTTAAAGGGGTCATGACATTGATTTTTTATTATTTTAAAGGCACATTATGTAAGATTTTTGGATCAATATATCCAAAAACCACTAGAACAATGTTATATATTTTGTTGATTTGTGTACTTATTAAACATGTTTCTAAGGATGTTTAAATCCAGAGAAATAAGCCGTTTTAACCAGGACACGGACCGTGTCCATGCGTTGCCTATTAATGACATCATACCCCCGTTACCGTTGATTTTTGATTTATATTATGTGTTTTATTAGACAGGTGAGCAACTGTTTGGATATATTTATCATTGACAGAAAACTAATCATTGTTATAGCTCAACACAGTTAGTCTTTTTGTTAAAATCTCGTTTTCTTGATTTTCCGCGAGTACCATGCCTAATATCGATCTAGCTCACTGCAGCGTGCAACAAGTGTCTCATATAGCAACCGCCGAGCGAACGCACAGAGTAGCATTATAACAACTTTCAACACAAATGTATCTAATATGATAAAACGGAGCTCACATATAGTGTAAGCAAATGTTAACCATTAAGAGACTGAATGCCAGTGGGTGGGGTCTATGGTGCGATGATGTTAAAACTATTCGTCGTGTCTTGCTCTGGAAGCAGGCATATGCAAATGTATTCACCCGTGTTACGTCACAGGTATTAAAACAATATCAAATATCAATATCAAAACTAGCTGTTTTTGGAGTACGCATAATCGTGAATTGGAAAGAGAAAGTAAAAAGAGAGCGTGCATTCAAAAGCGATTGCAGTATATTGTATATTGATAGTGGCTCCCTGATGCCCACAAATTATATACAGTATAATAATTTGATATGCATGTTTTCACATAACATTCCCATCTCAAATTTTTTTCCATCCCCATGTCCCTCTAGGGCAGTGGTTCCCAACCTTTTTTTATCCGAGACCCCCTTTTTCCCAAGAAAATATTTTAGGGCCCCCCTTCACATTTAATGATATTATCGCTCTTGTAAGCTTGCAGCAAGGATGACAAAATATGTTTACTATAACCAGATATGTTTATGCACAAATAATAGCCTATAATATTGAAAATACAATGACAAAAACATCAGTAGGCCCTTTGTAATTTAAAAACGTAAGCCAAGGAGAAGCCTATATATTGGCCCTATTTGAAATCCAAAAACAAAAATATTCACAGTGGTGTGTACGTAAAAAAAAAGAAAGAATATAGGCTATTACTAAATGACTGCTGTCTGGGGCCTTAATACTTGCAAGTTATTTGTGAGGCTTTATTTTTTACGCTTTTGACGCTATAGCGAGCGATAATAAACTTGAATAATATGTCTTTCGGAATAACATTGTAGCTGGAACTACTTCTCTCTGTGTACGTCTATGACGAGTCACGCAGGTACTGGGCAACTCCGCAGCGGCAGTGATCCGAACCAGTGTAAAATAGTCCCAATGTAAACACCGTAAACACTACCATAGTGGATCAGGATAAGACAAAAAACACGGATTGAAAAATGGATTCATGATGAACTCGCTCATTATATACATTTTGTAAATTTTGAACAGAAAAAAGTTAAGGACTTTTATTTAATCCTCATTGCTCAAAACTCAAAGCTTTTCAAAATATGACGCGACCCCCCACAGAGCTCGCTGAGGCCCCCTTGTGGGCCGCGACCCCCCTGTTGGGAACCGATGCTCTAGGGGCTCCATAGAATGTGTAATTTCCTTTCCGAACATAGTACTAGGCTTCGAGCAAAATATCAAGCAAGCGGCGTCTACGAACAAATAACGCCAGACCATTGGTCAGTGCCTATGTAGACAGCAAGGCAGCACGAGAGAAGGAGAAAAAATATATATAGTGTGTGTGATTACATTTATTCTGATTGGAAGGTGTTTGGGCATTTACAGCCAACTGGGAGAGGGGAGAGGAGAGTGGACAGACTTTTGAAGTTTTCATTAACTATAAGCACAACTATAAAACCTTCTCAAACGGCTGCGTTTTCGCAGCTGCTGACTGTCACCTCCAAAAATGCCAAATATGTTTTCCTTTTACTTTTCATTCTACTGCAGGATACAGTGAGTGTGGAAACACAAACAGAGAATTTTCTGGTAACAAGGGCACGGTGATACATAGAGAAGGGATAAAGCCGTGGGATTCGGGATCTCTAAATCCACCAAAACACAGGATACAAGAGCCGCCGGAGGACCTAATGACATATTTATGAGGATCTGTGTAACACAAGATACACAACTCTGAGGCCATTTACCACACTGCTGCTGTTTGTGTTGAGTGACTAGGTACCCTGACTTCCTGTCTGAAACTGAGGGTACTAGCACCAGCATAATGAACTCTCATTCTCACCTGTAAAAATAACACTGCAACTGCTTGAAATAATCAGCAAATAATAAAGCATTAGTAGTTGCAATTGTAAAAAAAAATATATATATATATATATATATATATATATATATATATATATATATATATATATTTCTGAGAAAGTAAATGATCGATCCACTCATCTATCTACTTACTTTAGTAGTGGAACATGTTCGGTTCATAAAAATGTAATAGTAAATGTTGAGTTTAACATTAACTAAGAATAATAAATTCTACAGAATTGCTCATTTTAAGTTCCTGTTAACTAATGCAGATGTAAATGAAAAATTTAAACTGAAGTGTTTCCAAAGCTTGTTCTAACAGACTCCTATGCATTTCTTGATGTTTGAAGCTTTGTTTTTAATTGACAAAATATAATACTGGGGGCACCTTTAAGAATTATATTACAATTGAGAGCAAATAGTACTTTTATGTACTTTTAGTTTTTAATGTTTCCCAGTTGTGCTTTCTTTAGGACCTTCACTGACATGCTTGTCTGATACACTGCTAGATAGCTTATCAAAAGCTGGTTTATACTGCCATCTCTCATGAAAGAGTAATTCTGTGAGGCTGGAAAGACAATATCCCCACTACAGAGTGAAGTATTGAATTTTAAATTGAGTTTGACAATATGCTATAAAATTCTGTCAAGCATACAGCAACTGTAAATTTAGCCTTTTATACTTGCAGAGGTGCTTTACAGAGTCTTACCATCCGTACTATGTACCAGGTGTAAAGGAAAAGAAAACCCAACAGGCCGGATAGGATTTATGAAGTTAGAGAACATAGAAAGTATACAGAATATAAAAATAATCCTGAATGAATAGAAGCACACAAGCAGACCTAGACAACCCAAGAAATCCCACTGGTTTGATTTGTTGGGTCTCACCTTTTCTGTGCAGGACGCTGTTGTCCTCAGTTTCTCTTCAATTTCCTTTCCGATCTTCTGAACCGTCACCTGAGTCTGCTTAATGGCTCTCTGGGCTGTGTGAAGCCTGTGGAGGAAACACACACAGGATGCATCACTGTTAGGGTTGAGAATGTGAAGAAAAAGCCATTCCAAGTACTTGAACCGAATGATTTAATGACATTAATGCACACAGTTTCAGCACATGTTTGATCAGAGCTGTGAACCTAACAAAAATACTACCAAGTCAAAAAAGACACAGTGTTCTTTTCACATCTGCTCTCAATAACAAGCATATAGTGTGACCAGCATAGTTCAAACCACAAACAAACGACTCTTATGATTCTTTTTGATGAAGCAGTCGAGCAAATCAGAATTACACTGATTTCAACTAGTTTTTAATATGACAATGTAGTTAAATATACTCGGTTATTAAAAATAGAACCCACAAAACATATGCAAACTAGTTTATTTGACAAAAGAAATGAACAAAAGAACCACACCAAAAATATGCATATACAGTAATTATATAAACACACATTATTTTTGAAGAATGTTCAAGCTACTCTCTCTCTCATACAATTAAAGTATATTAATCTGCATACACAAGAAAGTCATTTAGATTTGGAACGGCATGGGAGTGAGTAAATGATGACAGAATTTTCACTCATATTACTTTAATTTGAAAAGTTTTGAGCATTTGTATGTTTGAACTAAAACACAATCAGTGATTGGATCTTGACTCAAATAGATGGAATTAGGTCAATCAAATGAAGGATGACAGCGGACACATATAAACAACCATTCTCAGATATAATGGAAACAGAATTGCCGCATGTGAAGGGGAGATGATCTCACACGGTGACCGATTTCAGATTTATATTTGCGGTAATTAGAGAACACATAAACTGAAACCTCATGACAGGAACGCTGAACTGAAGGGAGGTCAGGCGCTGTTTTTGTATTGTTTGTTTATTTCCCAAAGGCAATGGGCTTGTTAAGATAAACTTTTATAAATAACAGGTTTGTAAGGAGATTAATAACACCGCAGATGGGTCTCCTCATTTTGCCTGTTTTTGTTTGCACCATGGGCCTAATTTTATGACTCATCTGGTTTTACAACAAAACCAAATGGTTTTAATACCCATTGTTCAATTGCAGTGGCATGGTGAAATTTTTAATTCACCTGAAGGAAAAATTCTGTCAAACTAAGTGCATCCATGGATTTTAATGCAAACATTATTTCATTGCACGAAATGTTCGCTCCCTAAAAAGTCCCACAATGCACCATGAAAACCAGGGAGCATTGATGAAGCTTTTGCTGATCTCACTAGTAGCATATTCCCACTCGGGAGCTTCATGGAAGGCAGCTGATTCGCTCGACCACAAAACCTTTCAGCGACAGCATACAATTAACTTTGTTTCACACTCTCCTAACTCACTCGCTCGACCTCCAGTAATGGTTCTTTCTCTCTCTTTTTGAACAGTAAGATTAACACATTCTCACTTGAATCCCTCAAGGACAATCAGAAGTGCACATGGCTGGGATTAACAACAAACTAGACAAGGCAGATGCTAATTAGCACACAAACTACAGCTGTTGTGCAATAAAAATCAAGAAGAATATGCATTCATGAATGTAACAGCCTCAGATGTCAGTAAAGGAGTCAAAGTTAGCCTGTTATGCCCCTGCTGGAAGATGTTGTAACTACATGTGGTATTTACCTGATACCAAGATGGTGGTATCCAATTATTGTGCTGTTTTTATTTGTTATTCTGTTTAGTTATTATTTTCCTATCAGTGTCAGCAAAGATGAACTACTGGACATTAGGCAACACACCAGACAAAATGTTTCCAGTTTTTGATTATTCTGACGTTTTGCTGGACATTTTAGTCGGAGGGGCCGTGGTGCTATTCAAACGTGCGGTCAATTGCAAACGGGGGAAACGCGCCAGCGCGCTGGTTAAGCTCCGTGAGTGCGGCTTCCGAACCCTACAGGATCTCCTTCAGTTTGCATACAGAGCAAACAGGTCTGTGGATGATCCTGTCAACATGAGACTGCATTATTTCCAGGACCATCTCAATAGACCTGGGATTTAAGCCAGGATCTTATTTGTGGACTCCAATACCATCATGCCTTATCTTTTCACAGCCAAACTGACCCTGCTCTCCGTGCCATCCCAATCTGTCAATGGAGCTCTCTGACAGGAAAGCAGCTGACAGAAGCTAGTGAGACTTGGGAAACTCACATCCAGGACCCTCACTATCAGCACTGGCGCTCCTCAGGGTCGCATACTATCACCACTGCTCTTTTCCCTGTACACGAATGACTGCACCTCTGAAGACCCCTCTTGTCAAGCTCCTGAAGTTTGCAGACGACACCACAGTCATCGGCCTCATCCAGGACCGTGATGAGTCTGCATACAGACAAGAGGTTGAGCAGCTGGCTGCCTTGGTGCAGTCAAAACAACCTGGAGCTTAACACGCCCAAAACAGTGGAGATGATTGTGGACTTCAGGAGGAACACCTCGGCACTTCCCCCACTCACCATCATGAGCAGCACTGTAGAGTAATTCAGGTTCCTGAGCACACCATCACTTAGAACCTGAAGTGGGACAATCACATTGACTTTGTAATTCCTTCATCAGCTGAGGAAGTTCAATATGACACAGGAGCTGCGGACACAGTTCTACTCAGCCATCACAAAGTCTGTTCTTTGTAATTTAAAAACGTAAACGTAAGCACTTCTCTATAACTATCTGGTTTGGTTCAGCTACCAAATCAGACATAAGAAGAAGACTACAATGTACAATCCGGAATGCTGTGGGGATTTTTGGTGCTCCCCTGCCCACCCTGCATGACCTGTACTCCTCCAAAGTGTGGAAGAGGGCAGGTAAAATAATCAAAGAAATTAATACTTTTATTCAACAAGGGTGCATTAAATTGATCAAGTGAGGGTTAATGTATCAATTTAAGCAGTACAACTGTTCTCAACTTTGATAATAATAAGACATGTTTCTTGAGTACCAAATCAGCATATTAGAAAGATTTTTGAAGGATCATGTGACACTGAAGACTGGAGTAATGGCTGCTGAAAATTCAGCTTTGCCATCACAGGAATAAATTACATTTTATAATATAAAAACAGCTAATTTATATTGTAATTATTTTCTAAATATTACGGTGTTACTGTATTTTTGATCAAATAAATACAGCCTTGAGACTTTTTTCAAAAACATTCAAAAATCTTACCAAACCCAAACTTTTATAGTGTACATTGCTAACATTTAATTACATTACAGTGGATGTTTTAGACCTACATTTTGCTTTTCACAGCCCAGGATAGTCACTATTGATGGGTTTCTTAGTTTCCGATAAGTTTTCTCCAAATGCTATGGACCTTCTTGTTTTTAACAGATTTTGAGAAATCATGGGAAAACTGAGCATACCACATTGAGCGTAACGGGGGGAGAATTTCCTCCCACATGCCGACAGAAACCTTGCATTTTATCTTCCCATCTGTGGGCCTTTTTGAATCCATCCGAGGGGGGCCAGAGTACTTTGTGACACTGCTTTAAGTTTTTTTTTACCGCTCCTTTCTTCCCAAAGCTTTTACACTGATGACTTCATTACCACACACGTCATTCGTAAGCAATCATCGAATTGCAGCGATCCACTTAGAGGTCCAAGAAAGAACAGAGAGATGGCCAGCTTCTGATCCAGACCATCAAGATTCTCCTATGACTAGCATTAGAGAATTCAAACAGTTTGCTGACAAAGGTTAAGTGCCAATATCACCATAGTGAAACAATGCAGACTAATACTTCCTGAGCAACTCATCTGGGTTACGTTTCGGCCCTCCTGTGACCACACTGGTCCAAAACTAGACCTAGACTCTACATCTGCTAGAAGTACAGCTGGCCTGCCACTCCAAGCGAAGCTCATTCAAAAGTGATCTACTTTTAACAAACCCCTGTAAAACTGAATAAAGTTTCAGGAAAGTAAGGTTTTATGATTGTCTACACACAACTATGGTGATAATTTCCAGTGGTTGCCCACCAAAACTATATAATGCACAGCTACCATTCCTATAAATCCACATTTTCTTCTATATACCTCTTTTTCTGAAGCTAGAGATTGGAAAACTACACCCCTCTCGCTCATATTTGGGGCCTCTCCTTTCTTCCTCCCGCACTTTCCCAGAAGCACTCTGCATGAGCTGACCAGGGCATAAATCACTAGGCCTTTAAAATCTACCCTGTAACAAGTTCACACAGCGACAGGAAAAATATTATTTATTTTTTATCAGCCGTGTCTCTCTCTTGTTATATGCAGGGTGATATGGCACGCCGATAAGTCAAGTCAAAGCTGATTTGACAGCTTTATCGTCACCGTGATTGAGATGGAGAAATCTGATAGGCCACTTCCCCCAGGTGAGCGGCAGTTATCGCCCAATCGGATTTCACGCATGTCTGCACTCTTATCAACCCTCAACCCGTCTGCCCGTCAACACCTATCTCCCTCAGCCAATCAGAGAAGGGCACAGGAGGCTACCCAGCAACCAGCAAGGCAGCTCAGACATCAAACACACGCTAGAATACAAACACAAACACTTCAATCACAACAACTTTCTTTTCTGGCGAATCACCTTTTAAAAAACTAGGGAAATGATTTCTGAGATTGACATCGGAGGGAAGCTGGGTGCAGTGACCCAAGTAATAGATTACTAGTTGTGTTTGCTAAGTCAAGCATCACTTTTACTACTTTTCAAACTTAGGCTGCATCTGAAATCGCATACTTCTCTACTATATAGTAGGCGAAAAACAGTATGCGACAAAAGTAGTATGTCCGAATTCACAGTACTCATAAAAGAGTAGGCAAAAAGTACACAGATGACCTACTTCTTCCACTGAGATTCTAAAAAGTGCATAGAACAGACACTTTACTATCGCATGAGGCCACGGTAAAGGATTTGTGAATTGAAGTGAAGCATAGGTCACGTGATAAGGGCAACATGGTCAATGTTAGTACGTACGTCCAGATTATATTCATACTACACACATTCATACTATATAGAAAGTAGTTTT